AAAATATGTACGTTGAGTGCAAAAACACACAGGTGAACATGGTTCTACGTGCGCCCACATGAATTGTGAATTCAAATTTTTTTATCTGTTTCACGTTACTAGGTTGTTAAAATATGTACGTTGAGTGCAAAAACACACAGGTGAACATGGTTCTACGTGCGCCCAGATGAATAGTGAATTCAAAAAAATACTAGAAAAAAAATCAAAAACATATGAAACTTTGGGATATCAAACTTGGTCGACTATGTATGTTAATTTTTTCCAGTTTTATTTTTATAGTATTCTTTTCGAATTTACTATTCATAAGGGGTGCGGGTGGAACCATGTTCACCGAATTCCTGTCCCACTAACTGGTTCTACAATCTTCTGATTTCATTTACTGAAAGTGTTTGATTATGTTGCAGGAAATGCCAACTTTGGTGTTTGTAGTTATCCAGGCCAAGGAAAGAACAGAAAATCTTACGCATCCATCAATTATAGCAGCCTCACATATCATAACAAAATTTGGCCTGAGTATTTATTTATCTTCATTTCTTTCCCATGTTGTGTGTCATTTACTTTCCTTCGGAAGTAATGGGGTCATTTCCTTTTCTGTTGCCTTATCGTTGAACTACACGAGGACACTTCCTGATACACAGGTCTTTTCTTTGAAAGATGAAATGAAAGTGACGTGCTTACCATTCCAATCGAGACAATTAAGGTACACTTAACAAAGCACATGCCTTTTAGTTTCCTGTCTGTTTTTCTTTTCCTTTTCTAATGTGATTCAAGCCAACAAGTACTCCCTCCGTCCGGGTGTATAAGTCATTCGCGTAGTTCTAGGTCATCGATTTGAGGAATTAAATATGTGTTATATGTCATGAAAAGTATACCACTAGATTTCCACACGGATGTAGTTTCTAAATATATATTTTTTGTCACATATAATACATATTTAGATAGTTAAATTATCAACCTAGAACTACGCGAATGACTTATACACCGGGACGGAGGTAGTAGCATGGCTGGTCTCCGTATCTGATTATGATGATGTGGACTCAAACGAGATGTCTTTATTGAGTAAACATAAATCAACCGGCTTGCAAAGTTGACCAAAGCGGGCATTAAATTAGGTTGCTGGCGTGCTACTTCACAATGCACGTATTCAGATGGAAGTATAATGGCAAGAGATAGATGATGGATGCTGAAATCAATCGATATTCATTGCATGGCGTCACACCGTAGACTGTTTGATTGTTTCAAATACTATATCTCTACAATTTGAAATTTGATCACCTTTTTAATTACATGATGTCTTTTTCAAGGATAGTAGGTAGAGTCCTCATTATTTTGAGGCGTGGGAGTTGTAGTGCCAATTGGTTAGTTCAACTAATCTGTGGTGACAAATTCCTAACACTCCATTTCTGGGGTTGACTGTTCTTCTTGCACTTTCTCCACTTTGTATGCTGGATTTGCATACCTTGTCTGAAAACAAAGGAATGAACAGATGAGTGTTCATGGTGTGAAGTCTTTTCTTGTCTAGATGTTTCAGAATAATACTCATCCGGCCCAACTTGAGATTTTCAGGGGTAATCTTTTCTTGTCTTGAAAGTAAGAAACAGAAGAGAAGAAGTCTGGTCCTATGCCTAACAAACTACTCCATTTAGAACCACCGAAGAAGAACACAGGAGAGGGGATATAGTCCCCAGTGTATCCATGATGTGTCAAAATCGTGACACCAGCACATGGATAATATGCCAGTCTCACAATTTTAATACTGACATATCATGGTTACACTGAAGAAATGATCAAACGAAAGAGAACTACTGAACCTAGGACATCATATAAACGCTTTTCTTGATGTCGGTGCTGCCGAATGGAGCCTCTCCTCCTCTTCTTTCACCCCCTCCTGCTCTTCCTGCTGTTGCTGTTGGTGCTGTTGTTATTGTTGCTATTGTCCTGCAGGAAGTCAAGGAGCACGGGGCTCTTGCACTGGGGGCACCGAGGGTCGTCTTGGGGGAGCATGACGTAGATGAAGCAGCGAGGGCAGGCGGCGAGCACCATGGACGTCGCCTCGGGGCTGTTGGACCACTGCAGGCCGTGCTCGTTCTCCGACGATAGGCATGAGCTCGGGGACGACTCCTCGTCAGCCATCACCCTGTTGGAGGAGTCCCCTCTTGCAGGCAGCGAGAGGTTCAGCTTCAGGTCAAGGCCCTTTGATGAGCTCTTCCTGTTGCTGCGGCTCATCCTCAGAGGTATCCCCTGCCTGCACACATCAAAACGTTGAACTGTCGGATTAGCATCAGCTCTGAAAGCTACTATTGATCGATTGTTGCAACCTAGAAGAGATTAGAGATCACTAGAGATGGATGCATATAGGGAGGGAGCTTACTTTTGCGTCGGGTCCGAGAAGCAGGAGGCGTGCAGATGAAAGTGAGAGCGACAGGGGAGGGGATGCTCTGGAAGGAGAGAAGCCCGGGAGTTGGAATGCTAGGAGCGTTTTGCATTGGTGTAGTTGGAATGGAGATGGCGAGTATTTATAGTGGGGAGGGAGATGGATGGGGAGAGGTCAATTAGTTTTGTTTAATGCAACAGTGAGAGGCATACTACTACTTCTCTCTCTCGCTCTCCCTCTCATGTTGTACAACGCCGAGGCATTTTATTACCCACCAAATCATGGTTGGAGAGTGGCAAGGTATGGGTTGAATATTTTGTGTTATGTTGGGTGGAAGAGAAGTGCGAGGTGAGAGGGCTGGTCATGCACACAAGGTAGGCTATCTAACAGGCGAAAGCAGAGGCTGGGTATGTAGTTACAGCTAGACTTTTGACATGTTTTGCTTTGCTTTTATTTCCTCTTTACCCTAATGAAAGCTTGCCACTGATATTAAGGGCTCTAATCCACACACTTTTTTGTCAATCTTTTCATAGTAGAGTTCACATATTAGAGTGGTTTAAAGTTAAAACACATGTAGTGATTCAATTCTAAAAGTTTGCAAATGACTTGCCTCCAACAGGTTTCACTGCTTCTAGACAGTGGACATGGAAGATAGACACATCTTGTAATTATGACGGTTATTATTATTGGGTGTGTAGTTGAAAGTTGAAGCTCATCAATACCTGTCCTAATTGCTTCGAAAGCTTAATTTTTTTTTTGACTGGCCCAAATTGATTTCACCACTTGAATGTGATCTTGAATGGAATTTATTTGGCACAGCGTCTCAAAATGCACATCATACTGCTAGCAGGAAAAAGAAAGTAGAGAGTAGTACACTAAATAGACTTGAATGTTGAGCCATTGGTTTTTGCTAATCGAATAAATGGGGTCCTTGAAGATATGCTGCTGCTATGCAATTTTTAGGTCTTTAAATGGTGCAAACGCAAGGCCTATGTATGTACCCATGCGGTGCGCATCCTCATACAATGACGAAGAGATAAGCAATACATTAATGCCACTTTGTTTCATGCACATAAGAGCAGCCTCCTCCTCCTCCACCCCCCTTGTTCTAATGTCACCGCCCGCTTTGAAAAATCTCAGCTCCCTTGGGCCTTTGCTTCTGTTCCAGCTCGCAGTGCTTAATTGCTGACAACAGATATTAACTCTGAGGGTTGACTTGTTGGTTATTCTAGAGATGTTGCATCCTTGCATTTAAGAAAAGATTGAAACTTGGTTAAGTCATAACTAGTCGTAACCCACTAATGTAATCCCCCAAGATTGCTTCCATATCACCCACCTTGATTAATGACGGGGTGGCATACAACTCACTTAAAGTTGTTTGGTTTGTGTGTTGCAATTGGTTTGGTCAATGCTAGTGCTGCTGCTGCTGCTTCTCTACATGGTTAAGAGAGAGCCATCTGTTTTTTTCTTTTGTTTTTTTTGCCTTAGTTGTGACTAATTACACCATTAATGCCTCTTTTTTGGCAGATGGAAGCAGTAATGGATGGTTTTGGGATCCAGAGCCAGTGCTATCGGCCTCGGGATCAAAGATCAATTCAGCTCATCGAAGCGTATAATATTTCGCCATCATTCGCCATGATTCATCACCGATGTGTTTAAGATTGGAGCTAAAGAGGCTAAGAGTTGAAGGCAACTCTGGCTCAACTACGGAGACAGGGGAGGTTTGACCTCAAGGCGAGCTCATAACTGTGGCACTAGGTTACTTAGTACAGGATATGGTTTAAAATGTTCCTTGCACGTACAAAACTGTGATTAGTCGGCGTTGGAGCCAAAGCGCATGTGCTCTTCTTTAATTCCATGGAGGGATCTAAGGAGCTTAATTAGTGCCCGGAAAGTAAAAGAAAGCTCCTGATTGAATGATGTCACATGTTGGTCATTATTGTGGGTTTGTATGTGGCACTGTTTGTGTGTGGGGGGATTCGTACAATTTTGTACTATGGTTCTACCTTTTGCCATTAAAAGTTTAATTATATAGTTGTGTTTTTGCTTTTGACTCCTAGTTGGAGTCTTGGAGATATGTATTCACATCGTCGATATGGGAGTCAAAACTTTGGAATTATGTATTCAGATCATTTTCTTCTGCTCCTCGTTGGTTCGACACTCTTACTTATCAAAAGGACTATGGTTAATCCCATATACTTGTGGGACATCAACACTATTTTCTGGCGCATTGCCGGGGAGTGAAGCGTCTTTGGTAAGTGAAATTTGGTAAGGAAACATTTATATTACGTGCTGAAATTTACTGTTACTTGTTATTATGGAAAACAATCCTTTAAAGGGGTTTGTTCGGGATATCTTTACCTCGACTGGAAGCACAAAAACTTGTTCCTCAATCTACTGTACCTACTGAAAATATTTATTATGAGACTCCTTCAGGTATGATAGAGAAATTGCTAGCTTATCCTTATGCAGGAGATGGAACACTACATCATGATATGCACCTAATCTATGTGGATGAAGTTTGTGGATTATTTAAGCTTGCAGGTTAATCCGAAGATGAAGTTAAGAAGAAGGTCTTTCCTTTATCTTTTGGGGGAAAGACATTGGCATGTATAGGCTAGGTGATGATGCTGGAGTTTGGGATTGGAATTGATTAAAATTGAAATTTCATCAAAAGTTTAATCCTATGCATCTGGTTCATTGTGATCGGAATTATATATATAATTTTTGACCTCGTGAAGGAGAAAGCATCTCTCAAGCTTGGGGGAGGCTTGAGTACATCATGTACACATGCCCCAATCATGAGCTCCCAAAATAAATTATCTTAGAATTTTTATTTGCCCGGCTTTCTCATGATGATCAAACCATGCTCGATTCTTCTTCAACTGGTTCCTTTATGAAGAAAACTATTGAATTAAAGTGGGATCTTCTGGAAAGATTAAACACAACTCTGAAGATTGGAAACTTGACAAAGGTGAAGAGACAGGTATTACACTTAAGTTTGATTGTGTTAAATCTTTTATGGACCTCGATGATTTTCATAAGTTTAACACTAAATATGGACTTGGCTCTCAGATAGTAGCCTCCTTTTGTAATTCATTTGCTACTCACGTTGATCTCCCTAAGGAGAATTGGTTTAAATATTATCCCTCTATTAAATAAAAAAGATTGAGGAACCCGTTAAACTATCATTTACAATGTTGATCCAGTTGTGGCTACTGCTTATATTGAGAAACCACATTTTCCTATTAGGATTAAGGAACATGCTAAAATTTTAACTGTGGTTAACAAAAGTAATATTAGAGCACCTAGACCCTCTAAACAAATTAAAGTTGAACCTAATATTATTATGGTTAAGGATCTCTTGGTCGATAATGTTGATGGGCATGTTATTTATTTTTGTGATGAAGCTATTAGAATTGCTAAACCCGACACTAAGGATAACAATAAACTTGTTGTTGGCATGCCCATTGTCTCTGTTAAAATAGGAGATCATTGTTACCATGGCTTATGTGATTTGGGTGCTAGTGTGAGTGCTATTACCTTATATCAAGAAATTATGAATGATATTGCACCTGGTGAAATAGAAGACAATGATGTTACTATTAAACATGCGAATAGAGATATTATTTCACTGCTTGGGATTGTTAGAGAGGTTGAGGTCTTGTGTGGAAAAATTAAATACCATATTGATTTCCTAATTCTTGGTTCCCCACAAGATGATTTTTGTCCCATTATATTTGGTAGACCTTTCTTGAACACTGTTAATGCTAAGATAGACTGCAATAAAGAAACTATTAGTGTTAACTTTGGTGATATATCTCATGAGTTTAATTTTTCTAAGTTTCATAGACAACCTCATGATAAAGAATTGCCTAGTAAAGATGAAATTATTGGTCTAGCTTCTATTGCCATACCTCCTACTGATCTATTAGAATAGTATTTGCTAGACCATGAAAATGGTATGCACATGAATGAAAGAAAAGAAATAGATAAGATGTTCTTTGATCAACCACCTATTCTTAAACACAATTTGCCGGTTGAAACTCTTGGAGGTCCTCCTCCACCTGAAGTTGATCCCGTGTTTGAGTTGAAACAATTACCTGGTACATTGAAATATGCTTTTCTTGATGAAAATAAGAATATCCTGTTATTATTAGTGCTAACTTTACAGAGCATGAAGAAAAGAGATTACTTAAAACTCTAAGGAAGCATTGTGTCTCTATGGGATATACTCTTGATGATCTTAAGGGAATTAGTCCCACTTTATGTCAGCGCAAGATTAATATGAAGCCTGATGCTAAACCAGTTGTCTATCATCAATGCCGATTAAATCCTAAGATGAAGAAGGTGGTTAGAACTAAAATATTAAAACTTATGGAAGAGGTATAATGTATCCCATAGCTGATAGTAGATGGGTAAGTCCTTTCATTGTGTCCCTAAGAAAGGAGGCATTGCTGTTGTTCCTAATGATTAAAATGAGCTTATTTCACAAAGAATTGTAACTAGTCATAGGATGATAATTGATTTTAGAAAGTTAAACAAAGCTACTAGAAAATATCATTTCCCGTTGTCTTTTATTGATCAAATGTTAGAAAGACTATCTAAGCACACACACTTTTACTTTCCTGATGGATATTCTGGTTTCTTTCAAATACCTGTATCATAAGACGATCAAAAGAAAACCACTTTTACTTGTCCTTTTGAAACTTATGCTTATAGATGTATGCCTTTTGGTGTATGCAATGCACTTTCTACCTTTCAAAGATGCATGGCCGCTATATTCTCAGACTTTTGTGAAAAGATTGTTGAGGTTGTCATGGATGATTTTTTTCGTTTACGAAACTTATTT